CTCCGGGTACCATGTCATGTCACAAGACTTTCACAGCAGCCACTCGCTTACGTAACCAATCCCGGAGTGGCAGAGCAACGACGGCGGCCTATAGAAACGCTGCAGCTCTGACAGATCGTTTCCAGCTGCGAGTCCATGCGTGCCGTGTCATGCCGGCGATGTATGAACATTAATTTCATTAAAATTGAGTTGTTTGGCCTCGTTTGCTTCCAGCGATCAGGCAACATGTCCCCCCCCCCCACCACCACTGGATTCAATTGAATTGATTGACATGAATTCTCTCTGTTGTTGTGGACTCGTTACGAAACAAGTCGAGTGACGACGTGAAGGGAAACAAGACGCATCTCCAGTTTGATTCCCGTCACATCAGTCCACAGTCTCTGTGCACACCCACTTCACGAGGGAACCAAGCTGCTGTGCATTCTATTAGGAGCAGGAGGAAGGTTTTTCATAATTCATTTTCTATATCCGCGGCCCGATCCAGCGGGAGTTGCATAACGTGTGAGCTACGCGGGCCCGTGTTTGCCACGTCTCTATTAATGGAGGAGAGTTTCACGCTGATGCTTTTATAATAAATAGAAAAGGTCCACGTTATTTTAAAAGAGATGGAAGATTGATTTCTCCTCCACTGCTGCGTCCTAAGAGGAAAACACAGGATCTTCACTGTCAATACGGGAATTTCAAATTCAATTCATCAGTTTTTTGACCATCGTAAAGTTTAAACAGACAAAGAAACATTTTGTTGAGTTTTTATATAAAACTGTGCTGAACATACGTGTCAGGATATTTTAATCCTCCATTTTTACTGTATATCCTAAACTTGGGATTCTTTCCTCTCACATTCTAAAGCAGAAAATGGTTTAAATGTGAAAACCTACTTGATTTTTCTACATCGGATTCAGATTCAACTCATCAGATCCATTTCACTGAGATTCTGGTAAAAGCTGGAGCAATACGCGTCCGTCTGTCGGCACAAACAACCGACACCAAACCACAACAAAGTGAATCCTCTGCCGTCCACGGGGATTATTTCTCCTAATCTCCATCTATATTTACAATGGAGCGAAAGAGCTGCGGTTCACTTTAACAACAGTCGTGCTGCTTGTGATGAAAATCACAGGATTAATCATAATTTCATCTCCGGCCCACCGCAGGTTTTAAACTCTATGGACTATGAAAGTACAGTGGTCGAGCATCTGAGAGAGAGGCGGTTATGTAAACGACGGTCACGTGACCTGCAGGTTTTGATTCTCGCTGCCTGCCCCTAAAACACACAGACCCTTTTCTAGAAAAGCCAGAGAGGAACGAGAAGAAGGGATCCGGGGTGAACGAGGGGGCGCAGGAAAAGGAAAAAAGGACGATGGAGCCATTTGGCTGCAGGCGACGACTCTTCCAGGAAACCCAGGAGCGCTCTTATTGGCTTAGTTGTGTCATCCAGGATCTTGTCAGAGTTTCCTCCACCGTAAACACCAAAACAATTTCTCCACAGGACCAAGTCACTGCGATTCATAGAGAATGATCACTGCTCCACGGGAAAAACAAATAAAAAACACATTCAAATCAATGTATTTGAATCATTAACTGCTCAGTATATCCGCCCGACGAGGTTGAAGGAAGGTTTTAGAGAAAATACGTAATGAACCAAACGTCCGCATGTTGTAATGTCAACTCAAGATGAGTCCAGATGTTGTTAAAGTATCAGAATATATGAAAATATGACGACAACAGTGGCAGAAAGTTATGAAGAGAAACTTTTTCCTCCGTGTTTTTAACGGCTCTTAAACTTTTCTCTGTTGGTGTCGATCACAGTTACAGTGTGAAACCATATGAAGGCTCCAACGAACTTGAGTTTGTCTTCTGCTGAGTTTTTTCGTGATAGTTCACAACAACAAAGTTCAGCTCAGAGGGAAAATTTAAACCTTCAATGTGAATCTCAGGTGTAACTCTTTAAAAACCCGAATCACAGGTTTACAGATGCGTCTCTCTGGAGCAGCGTTGGACACATCGGGCTGTGAAACTCACCACACACACGGACAAAGAGGAGGGAGAGCGGACTAACCCTAAAGAGCGGATCACTGATTCTCCACGGCTGATTATCCAGAACCAACGTCCCACTGCTGCAAGAACAGCACCAGGAACACTGAGACCAGAGTGGAGCTCACCACCATCACAGAGCTGTTTCATCCTTTTTAGAATTTATTAAACTTTATTTATTATGATACATGTTTTTTAAAATCTATATTTTTCTCGTGATGCTTTTATTTCTGTTGTTTTGTTTTATTATCATTTACTTGGAAATATTTTACAATGTACGACTGCACTGGTTTCTGAACTCATCAATACTTTGAACTGATGAGTTTTGACAGGTGCTATATGAATAAAGTTTGATTGACTGATTGATTGATTTATTGATTGATTGATTGATTGATTGATTGATTGATTGATCGACGTCCTGCTGCAATTGTCCGTCAGCAGCAGACAGCGGAAGACGACGGCTGAATATCGGGGTGATCCCAGCGTCGTATTGGTTCAGACCGGCTGAGAGGGACGAGCCCATTGAGGCTCCAGACAAAACAAAGATGTCCGCCGGGCTGGATAATGCTGTCAGTGACTGAAATGACTTATTCAGGGAGAAAAAGCTCAGCACAAAGCAAATCCAGTGTTTTAATACTTAATGAAGTCGAGCCTGTGCGAGTGTTTAACAGTTCTTCTAAACATCCAAACACAACAGCAGCAGCGGCAGCGGAGTGTGGAGGCAGTGGCATCGTTCCCAGAGTGAGCGGGAGCTAAGTCATGGCTGTGCAGACCACCCCCCTTTCAGAAGCATCCGACAAGCAGGATTTGTGTTGTTTACATACAACAAATTATGGCGGACCGCAGAGGCGGACCCAAGCGACGGGCCCTCGGGGTCCACGGAGCTTTCTCTCCGAGGAGCTGCCTCCTTAATGTAAAGAGCCCTGAGCTCGTTAATTACTTAGAGAGCGTCCAGGAAGTAGGCTAATGCAGTTAGACAAGAGGGTTTGTCTATAGGCTACACTTTGACCTATTGCAACTGAAATCCACTATCAATAATTCACTGTGACAGGTTGAACACTTCCATACGTTACAGAAAGGGAACAACAGATGCGAATCCGGTCGTATAGCTCTGAACTGCTGGAGAGAAATGAATCTGATGAACGTGGCGTTTCTTCAGGAGCCTCCACGACAAAGCAACACGCACACATTTGGTAAAATCCGGGGAAAAAACACTGGGATCCCCGGCGCCGTGTCCCGCCCCTCTCACCCCAAACAGCCATTTTCAAAAAGCCGCCGACTTAAACAAACATTGCTCTGCCTCCATTTCATAAATTCTTTAAACTCTAGGGTTTCTCTCAATTATTCATGCGTCACGAGCATCTGACGGCCGCATTGCAGCATTCTCTATGAAAGATCGCCGCCTAAAATAACAATGTCTCCGCACAGTAGAGGAAACTGTACACGTTCATCCGCTGGCGTGCAACTCCTCCCGATGCTTCTGAGTACGGTTTTTAATGGACGCCACTTCCTCATCTTCATCACAGACGCGGGTCTCGATGAAATATTGAGTTTCTCGGTGCTATGAAATCATCTGGATGAGGCGGTGGCTCTCTCTCTCTCTCTCTCTCTGTGGTGGAGAGTGATGAGATGAACCGTGAGATGTTGGCCAACACATCCGGCACAAATACTGAGAGCGAGCGAGCAACGTGACTCGTGGTGGGGTTTTCTCTAATGGCTGCAGGGACCGGAGCGTTTATGGAAACAGATGCTGCGTTGAACTGCTGCTTCCTGTTCCTCCTTCTCCTTCAGATCTGCCGGAGGTGCTGAGGAGGTGCTGGACTTTTAATTTGCCTGAGTGACGATCAATGACTTCATTTCATTCAGAGGTTGGAGGAGAGAAGCTTTCAGCCGAACTTCATCAAGTGGAAATCGAAGGCTACGCTACGAAGGCCAATCGGATCAGAGACCGTTCCGCCTGAGGAAGATGAGGCGACTTAACGTCAATCTTTTACCTGGACTGTAAATAAAGATGGACGACTGGACAAAACGTCCCGGAGACGATGATGACACCGTCTGGAGTCAGAATCTGTGCCTTTAATTCGTTATTCAAATAACGAATTAAAGGTTCAGTGAGTAGAGTTTAGTGACATCTACAGGCGAAGTCGCACGTTGCAGCTGAATCCTTATCTCACCTTCTGTTCATATTCTCAGAAACATAAAAACTGAAACATTTCCAACTGGAAGTTTACGACTTGTGACGTTAAACAACAATTAACGAGTTTAAATAAACAGTGGATCGAACAAATATATATTCTCTGTTGAAAAACCCTCCACTGGTCTAATAACAGCAGCAGCTTGTCTAGACAAGTGAAATGAACCACATGACCTCATGAACCTGCTGCTGTTAAGAAGCTGGATTTTCAGGCGTCGCATTATCACAGACGTCATTTTGAATTTCTTATTCATGGAGCAGCTGCTGTGGGTTGAGTTCGACTCTATGTAAAGACCGAGCTGCAGAGACGAGCGTCTGCAGGACGACAGAGCTGCTGAGATTGTGTCTCTGATAAAACTTTAAAACCTGTTGGTCAAGAATCTTTGACCTGAAATCTCGTAAAAAAACGTGGACGTGTCACACGACAGAAGCTGTATTTTTTTTCCACGCATCATGTTGCCATGCCGACAGTTTCCCCCTCCCTCTGAGCGCCGGCCGTAAAGCTCATTAATTAATTCGATATCGATCCTGTGAGTTTCTCAGCAAACGACATGATTTCCAGAAACTGTGCCGCCGAGTGGAAACATGTTTATGTGACGGGTGAGATCATTGCTCTCCATGTCACAGTTGTTGTGTAAACGAGTCGAGCAGAACCAGACGGAGATGTTTCAACCGTCAGGTTCCTGACAGACGCTGAAGTTCGGGGCCGCGTGTGACCTTGGACTCTGCTGCCCTGAGCTACAGTCGGTTACAATCAGTGCTGGAGATTTACCGGTGAAGAAGTTCTTGGCGCGCAGGTAGCTGACGCTCAGCCGGAGGATGGAGAGCTTGTCCAGACTGGCGGTGACCTCTTCAGGGAAAGGCAGCAGGCTGGCCAGCCGCTCCAGCTCGCCATTCAGCCGGTCTCTGTGCCGTTTGGACGGGTTGGATTTGGCCCCTTCGGCCGGCGGCTGCTTCACCCTGAGGGACGATGGAAAGGACAGAACGTTAGTGGTCATTCAAAGGCCCAACGCAAAAAGAGACAGAGAGACAGAGACAGAGAGAGAGAGA